ATGTTGATAAGTAAATTGATAGACAGATAAATGTGTTTTTTACCTTCACAATATTCAAAATCATCAATAATAAAATAAATAATGATCTATATTAACCCTTTTCACTCGAAAATTCCAGAATTAATATATTTTTGCAAATTATTGGACAGCTGAATTGGTAGACAGATAAACAGGTTGACAGGTATATTGGTAGACAGATAAACCGATAGAAAGTTAAATTGATGGACAGGTAAACTGATAGGCAGGTAAACAGATAAGCAAGTAGATAGATAGATAGAAACGTAGACAGAAGAACAGGTAGACAGGTCAATTGGTACATAGGTAAACTGGTGGTCAGGTGAATTGGATGATTTTTATATAAATACAGGTATATATACAAATAACGAGACAGATGAACAGGTTGACAAGTAAATTGGTAGACATGGCAACGGGTTGACAGGTAAATTGGTAGGCCGGTGAAATTGCTTAAAATACAATGGTAGATTAATAATCAGGTTGATAGACAAATGGTTAAACAGGTAAATTGTTGAACAGGTTAATTGGTAGACATATACAACGGGTTGACAGGTAAATTGGTGCACAGGTAAACTGGTTGATAGGTAAAATAGTGTATTGATAAACAGGTTGATAGGTAAATTGGTCGAAAAGCAAAGTAATAGATAAATTGGTAGATATGTTAATTAGTGAACAGGCAAATTGTAGGTCATCTGGTGTTCACGTGAATTGAAAGATATGTAAAAGAAAAACCGGACAACTGGTGGATAGACAAATAACAAGACAGATAAACAGGTTGACAGGTGATTTGGTAGACAAGTGAAACAGGTCGACAGGTAAATTGGTAGGTAAAATTGTAGAAATTATCTGTACGAACGTTGCTGAGGCAATATATCATTTTCATGTATAAATTTACATTGATTACCTTCTGATAATCATATTGTTCACCAATATGTTCTAGTGTAGAAAGAGTATTGTATGTTTGTTGATCTTTTGCTAATTTTTGCAGCCTGTTTGCTAGTAATTCTAGTTCGCACGTGGAAAGAGCCATTAAGTTTCCTGCCAGTGAGTCCAGACACGTATTGCTACATGCTGCTAGTTCTATAGCAAACACTTGATGAAAATAGAATAACTCGTAAGCTGGAGATAATGTTTTGTCGATTGGATACCTGTAATATTTTGATATTTGATTTTTTTTAATTTCGTTTTTTTTAATTTTGAAAAACATTGGAAATTTGTAATTTTTTTGAAAAAGCATTTCTTCACACGGTCGACACAAGTAAAATTTTTATTTGAATCATTCTAGCCGGATAATCCGTTTTCTCAAAAACTTTATGATCATATTTTGCACCCTTTGCAACATTCAAAATTAAAAAAAAAACTACATTTTATGAAAATTAGATTTTTTTCGATAATTTTTGAAGCAATATTTTCAATTTTTTTTAAAACAGGTAAATATTCTGAATTACGATACGGAATTTTACATCAATTTGCTTGTACAGATTTTTATTAGATCCAACTGACGAATGAGATTTATATATATATATATATATATATATATAAAATGGTTAGGACAGGGTACAAAGGTCCGATTTGTCTTTGAGCAATTATATTTTGTAAACTAAATTAATTATATCACTATAAACAACTATTTAAACATGTTCGGTAAAACTCCCAGCTCATCATTGTACAAACGTGTTTTTTTGTTCTGTTCTAAAAATTAGTAATCTACGTGTATATACTTGGCACCGCGATGGTGGAAATTGGCAAACCTGATATGACCTGATTTTTTGACGATTTTTTTGCTGTCGATTGGTGCAAACTAAAATTTTTTTGCTCTTTCCGTTCTCGAGATAAATGGGTGGGGCCAAATTCGGTGCTAACTATATATATAGTCAGCACCGACCCCTTTAAAAATGCAAAAAAATTAAAATTTCTTTTTACTATCGTTATCAGTGATTTTTTTGCTGTCGAATGATGCAATTAATTTTTGGAAAAGTTTTGCCCATCATAGATTTTCACGCATAGGAAAATTCCCAAATTTGCCAATTTAAAAAAATTGACAATTTTGAAAATGCCCAATTTTTTTGCTCGCTTACTTAAATATAAAACAAAAAAAAAATTTTAAAAAATTTATTTTTTCACCCCTTTTCAGAGGGGTTGCCAATTTTTTGGGGTGTCCACAGGTCACTTTTTCAAAAATTTAAAAATTGTTTCGGAATCTGTGATTTTTTTGCTCTGCGATACAAAAAAGAAAAATTAAAAAAAATAAGTTTTAATTTTGATTTTTTTCCTAGTATGAAAACGAATTGCAATCCGCTTTAAATATGCTTATTTTTTTTCCAACAAAATCATCAACAATACCTTTACAAAAATATGTGCTCTACAGGAATTAATAGTTTCATACAATTTTTATATAAATTTGTTAAAATGTAACAGGAATTGCGGTGCATATATATAGCCGTCTCACTCGCTCAATTGCGTATAGCTTTCTCACTCGCTCATCATCGAGAGACCCAGTGCGTAGAGACTCTCTACGCCGTAGAGTCTCTCGGCGGCGGGTGGCCAAAGACGCATTATTTATTTACTGAAATTACTGAAATATTGTTGACTAATTGATTCATTAAGTCTGTTTTGGGGGTAAGTAAATAAATTGAAAAGCATCGTATACTACGTAGTACTTATGGACGCAAACTATTCGTTTTTATGCTACGATCAAAATCAAAATTAAAATTTATTTTTTTGAATTTTTTCTTTTTTGTATCGCAGAGCAAAAAAATCACAGATTCCGAAACAATTTTTAAAATTTTGAAAAAGTGACCTGTGGACACCCAAAAAAATTGGCAACCTCTCTGAAAAGGGGTGAAAAAATGAATTTTTTGAAAAATTTTTTTTGTTTTATATTTAAGTAAGCGAGCAAAAAAATTGGGCATTTTCAAATTTGTCAATTTTTTTAAATTGGCAAAAATGGGAATTTTCTTATGCGTGAAAATGTATGATGGGTAAAACTTTTCCAAAAATTAATTGCACCATTCGACAGCAAAAAAATCACTGATAACGATAATAAAAAGAAATTTTAATTTTTTTGCATTTTTAAAGGGGTCGGTGCTGACTATATATATAGTTAGCACCGAATTTGGCCCCACCCATTTATCTCGAGAACGGAAAGAGCAAAAAAATTTTAGTTTGCACCAATCGACAGCAAAAAAATCGTCAAAAAATCAGGTCATATCAGTTTTGCCAATTTCCACCATCGCGGTGCCAAGTATATACACGTAGTAACTAGTCTATTAACCCCGCATGAGGGGTAAATTGGGATGTCTAGGGGTTGAATATTTATTGATAGGGGGAATTATATATTGAAAATATCCATTGTTTTACTTCCATTTTAAGGGATTTTACAAAATAATAGCTACATTATATAACAAATCAAAAATAAAATTAATATTTTTCTTACAGAAATACACTGAATACCTTTTATCCGGTATTTGCTCATCAGCAAGTTGTAATAACTATTTATTTGAATATTATTAGGACTATTTATCTAATTTTATCTATTTAGACTATTTATGCTAATTTATTATATTTATCTGTGGTAAAACTGCTTTACTTAACATGAGTTATAGCAATCCATCAAAAAATCGAAAATGAAATTTTAAAGTTTTCAGAATATTTTAGCATATCTAAAAAAGTAGATGTATTCGTGTGTGGTGTAAGTATGTATGTGCGAATACATTTTTCGTCGACACGATGAACAGATTTGAATGATTCGAAAAACATCGGTTGTACATTTGTTTCCCCTACTTTCTAGTAATGT